TATGAAAATTGTTCGTGATCGCAAAAAGGGGCTGATTTGGTTGTCTCAAGAGAGCTACATTGAGAAAGTTCTTAAGAGGTTCAATATGGATAAAGCAAAGCCGGTTGGTTGTCCACTTGCAGGTCACTTCAAGCTTAGTTCGAATCAATGTCCTACAAGTGAGAAAGACAAGGAAGAGATGTTGAAAGTTCCTTATGCTTCAGTAGTTGGTTCTTTGATGTATGCCATGGTTTGTACAAGGCCGGATATTGCTCACGCTGTTGGTGTGGTGAGTCAGTTTCTCTCTAATCCGGGTAAAGAACATTGGGCAGCGGTAAAATGGATTCTAAGGTATCTTCGAGGGACTTCAAAGGTATGTTTGTGTTTTGGGGATGGTAAGCCAATGCTTGATGGGTTCACGGATTCTGACATGGCCGGTGATATAGATTCTAGGAAATCTACTTCGGGGTATTTGATAACTTTTGCAGGGGGAGCTGTGGCATGGCAATCTAAATTACAAAAATGTGTTGCTCTCTCAACTACCAAAGCTGGATTTATTGCCATTACGGAAGCTTGCAAAGAAGAGTTATGGTTGAAGAAATTTTTGCAAGAGTTGGGTTTGAAGCAAGAAAGATATGTGCTTTATTGTGATAGTCAAAGTGCAATTCACTTGAGTAAAAATTCTACTTTTCATTCGAGATAGAAACACATTGATGTGAGATACCATTGGATTCGTGATGTGTTGGATTCGAAATTGTTGCAACTCGAAAAGGTTCACACGGATGATAATATTTCAGATATGTTGACAAAGACTTTGTCGAGGGACAAACATTTAAAGTGTCGAACTTTGGCGGGTATGGTTGATATCTCCACCTAAGTCGGTAGGGGGAGAATTGTTGGGTATACCTCCTTATTGGAGTGTGGGACCCAATTGATTTGTTAAAAGAATATTAATTTGACTTGGTTTTATATATTATATCTGTGGAGACCCAATCTAATTTGGTAACAATTAGGATTTGATTACAAAACCTAAGATTCAATAATATATTTATATATATTGATTCGAAGTGTGCGGCTGCTATACAATATATACTGTTTCGGTAATAGTGCCGGTGGATTGACAATTGGGGAAGATTTGTCTAGGTGCTTGATTTGTTCAAGTTTTTGTTTCCTTTGTCTGGAAGTTGATTTGGTTCGTTATTTTGGGTCTTCTTCAAGTTTGGTTTTAAAGATTTTGGTTCATCTATTTGGTGAGGTCTTTCCTCTTTGTTTATTTGTGATTATTTGGAATTCACCTAAGGGTGATTTTGTGAGACCATTAGTGTCTCGTTTGTAATCGTTTGGAACTTATTTGGTTGATAGTGGAATCGGATTTGGATCCCTTGAACGTACCTCACATTGAGGGAACCACGTAAAAATTCTTGTGTTGCTTTTGATTTAATTTTTTCGCATTAGTTTTTATTCCCATTGATTGATTTACTTGTGGGGAATCACATATTTTCCCTAACATGTAGTTAGATAGCATTAAAAAAATTGTGATTTGTATGATTGAAATTATCTCATTTTGTTTATAATTTGAATTTTTAATAGGGAGCTGTTAAGATGTGCACCTCAATAAGATGTGCACATCATATACACATTTATTTTAAGCCATTAAATTTTTGCAAATTAATCTCAACCACTTAATAATTTGATTAGAAATCTTGACTACCTCTTCAACCAGTTACCATTTTTACAAATTTTTTCACCGATTGTTCTCTTTCCAGCTGAGATCTTCATGTTGTTTTCCCAAAGCCCCCTCTGTTTTTGAGACACCACTCTGACACTCTTCTTCGCCCTCAAAGACCATCCCTCCAAGACCATCCCCCCGAACACAACCTATCCTTGACTTCGCCTCAAGGTATGTCTCTCTCTCTCTCTCTCTGCAACTTTTTTCTCTCCCTCTTTCTCCATCTGCATTCTATGCAACCCTAGACCGCAATCCCCTTCTTTGAAACTGCCCCTTTCACGTTTGTGAACTCACTGGGTTGGTTGATAAAATTAGGAAAATATTAGGTTTAGATTTTTTATGTTTGTTTGCTTTGGTAGTTGCTTTGATTCCATTCTTCGAAATCCCCTTTTGTTAACCCCTATTTCCTGTATCGATTCTTGTTTCCCATTGTTCAAATACCCCTTTCACGTTTGTGAACTCACTTGGAGTGGTTGGATTCTAAATTTAGGAAAAGATTATATGAATAGCTTCTGTTTGTAATGTTTGTTTGATTTGGTAGTTGTTTTGACTTCATATATATAGATATATATCTTGAAATTTTGGTTGAGTTTGTGAAATCTGATGTGTGGGCAATTGAATTTTGTACTCATGTAACTGATACGAGATTGCAATTATTTATTTATTGAAATCTGTTTATGTTTCTAATTCTTCGTTTCTTCTTATGTTATACTTCTGGTAATGGTGCTTTTGGGTTATCATTGAATGTAATATTCCCCTTATGGATTAGTAGTTGCATATTTTACCTATACATTTCAGGATTTTTATTGATTGATATACAATTTTTCTCATGATTGGATGTTGTTGGTGCATTATCTAAGCACCTATTCTTTTAATAGTAATTTTATATTTGTTTGGAATTCTATCAGATTGAGTAGGTTCTTATTAACATTCAAATCATCTTTTTAGTACTAAGAATCTCCAACACTCAAAAAATCATCCGTAAGCACTAAGAGTTGAAGGAAACTTTCTTCCATATTGTTCTTGTTCTTTTTGAACATGGTAGAGAGGGGGAAAAGGTTGTCAGGACTCAAAACACCAATGTCATGAACAAGCCCACAATGCCCCTTCATCTTGGCCAAGCTGGTGAACTCAGAACTACCCTCCCTCATCAGAAACTGAACTCAACTTCCCTGTTTCAACTATTGCACCCAAATCTCAAAATTAAATCATCAATCTCTGCAAAAGTGAATAATTTTGAAATTTTAATTGTATCCAACAATACAAGACAAAATCATTTCAAAATAATCTCAAACTAAACTGCATTTGAGCAATGAGTATGTACGGATCAAAACATGTTCACACACAAAATTGTCACTTTTATTTATGTAAGCACTCCAGAAATTCTAGGAATCATTATAATGAGTGGCACATTAGTAAACCACATTTAGTGATTCTAGTAATGTAAACAGGAATGATTCTAGTAACGTAAACAGGAGTTACTTCACTTGAGGTGATTTCAATCTTCTCTGTCCTCATTGATCTCTTCAAGAACAACCACAAGAGCAACTATGAAGGCGTAGTCCACGTTTGGATACACAGTCACCACAAACGTATCTTTTCCAAGAACAACGCTTTGAACACTGTGTTTTATGTGCATCTACAATTAAATAACCATTAAGAAAAACAACCCCTTTAAACATATATGATAGAGATCAACTACTTGGGTGCCATTTGGTTGTCACTAGTGATATGAGCTTTAATCCAATGTTTTAGGATTTTGAAAATGGGGATCATTAAAATAGAAATAAACTTGAGGAGGTTGCTTGCTGCTGCATCTCATCAACAAAATCAAGCAAAGCTTATACATGTACGTCTACGGATCTTTCAACTCAAGCTATTGATTTGGGAATGGTTTGTGTGCTCTATCTTCTCTATATATGTGCGCGCATGTTTATGTATATATAGATTTTTACTCAGTTACAACTCTCCCTTCTTGGGGGATGTTTCTGTTATTATTATTTTTTAAATGGTTTTAGAGCATGTTAAAATGCCTTAATTGATTGGCATTGTGCATTGGTTGTTATATATATATATATATAGATATTTTGTTATTGATCTGGAAAAAGAATTTGGTTTGTTGTTTTTTTGTTTATGAATTCATGCCATACTTATTATATATTTGCATCATTCCAGTATGTTGCTACACTAAGAGAACAATTAGAACAACTAGCTAAAGAGAGAACCTCAGATGGATTACCAAGGTCAGTACTCTTTTCTTTCGAAGTTTTATTTATTTTTTCTTTGTACTATTGGATTATTAGAGAGGCGCTGCATAGTGCACACTGTCATGTCCGTCATATAATTGTTGTGAACATTTTGAATTGCTTTGTACATATCCTTCTAGAGGGACCTGATGTTTCACTCTCTTGGTAAATTCAAAAAGTTTTTCTTTGTGTATCTTTTTCAAAATGATGATCTTTGATGTTGCAATTTCAATCATGAATTGTGTAGTATTATGGTAGTGTTTGGTTCACTGTAATAGAGTGGAATAGAATGATCATTCCATCAAAATATTCATTCTCATAGTTGGTTAGACTAAAATAATAATAATAAATGCATTATAAATGGATTCATGTTACACCATTTTAAGGGAATTATCATTCCATAGGAAAATTTAATGAATCACATTTCCATTTCATTCCCTTTCATTTCAATGAACCAAATAGAGCCTAAGATTGAAGGGAAATTATAAATAATGCATTATAAGCACTGGAGATAATAGGTGAAGGTCGTCTAAAGCCATTTTAGGAGGAACGATTGTGTATTGATTTCTTCATTTGAGGCCTTCTTAGGTAGATATAGCTCCTTCAGATTATTGTGCTGGCCTTTTATAGCATCATACATGTAATTCATTTGAAGAACTGAAAGCTAGAACCATTTCAAGAAACTAAAGCCATAGAATAAATCTAAAAAAATTCAATATAAAGACATCAATGCAATGACAAAAAATAATAATAATAATACTAATGTAGGCAGGTCCGATCAAGGGGTAAAATATTTGTAAAAAATGGATATCTTAGTCTTCAAAGATTGTAGATATCTTGATAGATATAACAAAATTGATATTGGTACCTGAATATTCTAAGTCGTCATTTGTTTTTAAACTTCACGAAGTGTTGATGTGTAAATATATTTTTCTTGATAAATAGATATTAGACTCATAATGTGCATAATTTCATATTTTTCTATACATGATCTGCTAGTGATGTTCATGTGGAGGAATTGTTCTAAGTTACTTAATTTATTAACATTGTGAATCTCTTTTTCTTTTATTTTTTTCTCTTTTTTTTTCTGTGACTGTTTATATAGAGTTTCAAAAGCTCAAGTGAATGATTATTCAGAGAAGATTGAAGCCCTTACTGCCAAATTGGCTGCCCTTGTGATGCGTGTATACTTTAGCTTTGTTTTGTATTGGCAATTTTGCATGTTGGACAAATAATATTAAGGTTTTTCTAAGTTTTAGTAAAGTACACTTGAATGAACATGGGTTTTAGTTCAGATCCCCAGCATTATGAAACTGTTCCATTTCTCTGATTTTGAATTACATATTCATGCATCTTATATGGGTATTTCATTTCCATCTAACTTTTCTCTTTGAAAACTTCCAGTCAGAGTCAGTTTTTCCATAAACTCTGCAGCCTATTTCTGTTACTTCTGTCAAAGAAAGCCCTTCCAAAGCAGTAAGAGAAAGTTCTATTCCCACTTCTCCAGGATTGAGGAGGAGATTTGTGTAAGGAGCTATAGTTTCTATACTATGGCTTTTTTGGTGATATGTGTTTGGTCTTACTTTGTTTCATTTTTTGATTAAACAGCGCTCCATCAAACATTGAAGATAGACCTCGTGAGAGTGTTGTGACTGATTATTCAGCGCCTGTCAAATTGGATGCTGCAGCACAGACTCATATTGACAAGCACAGGTATTTTCCACGTCTTAACTCATTGTTGAACTAAGTTGAAGTACTAGAGCATAATAAGAGAGTGAGAGCAAGAAAATACCTATTTGTTTCATGATTGATGTAGACATGTCTCTTTCTATTTATTGATGTATATAATTTTATGTACATTACATATGTATTGCGTCATTGCAGTTGAACAGTCGGTAACCTAACCTACCTTTACCATATCCTTGTTTTATGTAGACTATCCACAATTTAATTCCTTTTAGGGGAAATGAAATTTCATCATTCTTTTTTAGGATTGCATTCTACTTGACCTAGATATCATTTGTAATTATTACCGCAGATACTTCATTATTGCTAATTCTTATTCCTTCCTCTATCAGAAAACTTCAAGATGATTTGACAGATGAAATGGTTGGGTTGGCACAGCAACTTAAAGAGAGCAGTCTCATGATGAGTCAATCCCTACAAAACACTAAAAAAGTAAGTTCCCAAAATGTCACAGTTTTAATTTACTTTGATTCTGATTGTTGTCTTGAGGTATACAGTGCAATGTATCCTAGTAGCTTGGACAGTTGACAATACTTGTATTATAGAGATTTCTTATAACTAGGATGTCTAATAACTAGCATATTAGATGTATTCTAACACATGGTCAACGAACCTCATAGTGCAATTGTAATTTGAGTGCAGATACTTGATTCAACAGAGCAGGCGGTTGAACAGAGCTTGGCAAGCACAAGTCATGCCAATGTGCGTGCTATGGATATATACTCAAAGAGTTTCAAGACTACGTGTTTTACATGGCTTCTGATATTTGTAATGACATGTATATTCATCATGGTCGTACTTCTTATTCGTGTCACTTAGTGTATTACATTCAGTGAGAAGCAGCAATCATAGATTCTGCAAGTCTTATAGTGCTTGAATTTACCAATCAAACTATGTTCCTCTGATGTAACTTATATATGCTTACGATTTTGAGTATTAAGCCATGTCACTGATTTATTATGCATTTGACTTTTGATGGAAATGTCATTTTGATTCTCAAGAAATGCATTTGAGAAAATTTTGCTAGGGCTTGTTTCTGGTTTTTCTGTAGTATTAGCTAGCTAGTAATAATAGTACTAATCAGAATGATGGCTCAATTGTTTAGTTACAAAAATTAATCGAATATGGGTTGGGTTAGGTTAGGTTAGAATTGATTTGTTTGATGTCACAAAAACACAGTTCTCAGCAATTCAACAACACAAGCCTTATTGTATTGGTTGTTTGGTACAGTATTTTATCATATTTAACTCATCAAAAACAACAAAGTTTCCAAAAAAAACATCAAACCCTAGACTCAAACAATATCAACAATAAAAACAAACATACCATAGGTCTCCACAGTATGAAGGTGTTGGCTAATAGTTGTGGTGGCAGCAGCAGCAGCTCTGTCGTGGGATCAAACAGTGGCTAATACAAAGACAATATCAGACTGGCGGGGTGAGAGAATCTGAGACCAGCTGTGCTGTCACGACCCAAACCCGCCCCTATAGGTTTAGCATCGTAACCGGCCAGAAATCCTTGGATTACGGAAGACCTCTGAATAGATTAACAAAATTAAGGGGGCTAGGGGAAGCAAATACATAAATATGGTTGTCCAATGAGCTGTGCTGACTTATATGAACAGAATATTTAAAACTTTATATACATAGTCAAAAATCATTCATACATTATACCCACACACATTACAGTATTTTAAGTACAGCCAATGACATCAAATCAAGTCTTATATATGCAGAAACCACAGAACTTAAACACAGGACGCTTCGAGAATCTCCACGTGAGGCATAATGGTTGGCTAACAACGGACCACAGATCCAAACAAAAGCCTTCAGGCTCGAACTCCAAAATGCTTACCTATACATATATATATACAAACAGTGAGCTAAAGCCCAGTGAATAACATTAAGGTAAAGGGGTTAGTGAACGAAATCCGAACATATCATAAGCAGAAAACAGATCATAGCATAATCATCCTCATATCAGAACATAATAATGGTACATCCTATAGAACACATCACAGAACGTCTTCCGACTAGAGTAATCAGTTCCGGATACCGATTAAACACATATCACCATGATGAAGTGGCTAACGAGATCTCATAATTACTTGTATGTCATGGACCCGCATTTTCATGCCGTCCCCCATGACTTGGGACTATCTATGGATGCCATAATAGATTTCAAACATGGAATATTTGTTCACGAAAATAGATATCATTTCAGAAATCATAGCTTATCACATTTCATTTGGAACATAATTTCATACAAACGTATCTTTACGATAACGTTACTCACAGTGGTTCCAGTAAGCGGTCAATCAATCCTCGAGTCTTGACCTACAATCACAAAATACATAACACAAGCATGTCTTATCATTACACATTCAGGTGGCCATTAAGGCTTAGCTTTCATTACATTGGTTCTTATTCTTTCTTATCATAATGCCTAAAACACACACTTGCAGTCTCGAAATTTAGTACATTCTTTTCTTAGTGTGTTTCTAATCCATAACCTCATTACTATGGTTTAATTAAGGCTTCGGAATGCCTAAGATGCAATGAGGATGCCAAAACACGCCTTGGAACACTTAGGCAAAATTTCTAAAAATAAGGTCCACGCTTGAGCGTGGCTTTCCCCGCTGCAGACAAAGGAGCTCCACTCGAGCGTGAACTTCCTCGCTCGAGCGGATTGTAAAATTCGGCAAAAGTACTGGATGCACGAAATGTCCGCTTGAGCGGCAAATCCCCCGCTCGAGCGGCCTTCAAAAATCTGGGTTTTTCAGAACAGGGTTTTGAGCTCCAAAAGCAATTTCAATGGCAAATTCGTGCATGGCTTGTTCATAAACTTGCAAAACTTATTCATAAACATGAATGTATGATTTTCATCAATTCTTTTTAGTCAAAACCCATGAATTTACCAAAATTAGAACCAAAACTTTCCTGCATGTAGAACACACAATTCTTTTCTCCAAAACTCATGAAATTAGTAAATTTGAGCTTATCAACTCCATGCATGTAATTCAAAACATGAATTTCAATGATCAAACATGGTGATTCTAACATGCATGCACCAAATAACTCCCAAAATAATTTAGATGCTCAAAATCAAACCCAAATGACAACCTCTACATATATATACACATGCAAGTGGAAGTATAGTCAAATCCTCTATCCTCTTCACAACCATATGTAAATTACATGCAAATGATCCTAACAACTCCATGAATGCATCTTTATAACACAACTTCTTCATGAATTATGGGTTAGATGATCACCAAAAGCCCTCAATTACTCAAGATCCTTGCCAAACTTGAGCTACTCTAGCAAAATTCTTCACTTCTTCCTTGAATCCACACACTCTCTCTCTCTAAAATGGAGTCTCACTCTCATTCTAGAATGTATTCTCAGATTTTTGCACTAAGGGGTAAAAGAAATGAGCTCAAAATGAGTTTAAGGCCCATATAAAAAGCTATGATGTCAAAAATGCATTAATTGGATTATTAAGCTAGCCAAACGCAACTTAACGAATCAGACTGAATCAGTTTTTAATAAAATTTGCCAAATGATTCTAAAAATTCCAAATAACACATTGGTGTAGTCAATTTCGGTTTCGGATGCCGATAAGGCTTTCAATTTTCATATCAAAGCGGAATTCTAAACAGATATTTCTACAAGTGACAGATAGAAAGCCAAACCTCATGCAATTTACACAATAATCCTGTAATTTATTTTATTCACTTAATTAACATCCTTAATTACTTATTAGTAGCTAATTACGGGTCGGGGTTATTACACCAGCAACGTGAGAGACAAGACTGATATGCCAAAACCCCAAAGCATGCGTTTCTATGGGAGTTTTTGGGTGGCTAAATTAAGCATGTGTTGAGATTTTATGAAGTTTTAATTTATTTTTTTTTGGAAACACTATATGATTGTGTTGAGTTTTAAGAAGTCTTAAATTATTTTTTTGGAGACAAAATATGACTGTTTTAATGGAGGTGGAGTGTCTTCAGTCCACAATCTGGACTGGACCGTATTGTTTGGACTTTTTGGGGCACCATTGATGCCGTTTTGATAATCAAAAAAAAATTTAGGTGCATTTTATTTACAAAAAAATAATTAGGTCACTCAAATGATCATAATCTTTTCAAATTATCGCATTTGTCGTTACAAAAAGTGATGATTAAATTTTAAAAACACCAATTTTGTACATTTTTTGGTGACAACCATGGATTGCTCTATCTTTTTGTGTTAATGAAATACACAAAATACGCAACAAAATTAATGGTTTGGATTCGAAATAGAACATGTGATGGGCCTCACAGGCCCAAACAGTGCCCTCAAATCCAAATTATGGGGGGTCGAGTTAATCCACTTTTTTAAATTTGGTGAGGTCAAATAATTATGCAAATTTATTAATATATATTTTTTTATTTTCTATTTTCCACAGACTATTTTTTTTATTGAAATTTGACTTTTACAAAATATCATTTTTTTTCCGAAAACGCCTTAAACTCAGTCAAAAAAAGGCGTTTCGAGGGCAAAAATTTGAAACAGCCCCCAAACCACTGTGTGGCTCTCACGGGCAGCTTCCCTATGACAAATAGGACTTGTGACAACTGAAGGAATGTAATCCGGACCAGTAGGTTGGGAGTTAGAGCCAAATACGCCCAAAACTTACTCAAAAAAGGGTGTCTCGGGGGCGAAAATTCAAAACAGCCCCTGAACCGCCATGTGGCTCTCATTGGAAGCTTCCCTATACCAAATAGAACTTGTGACAACTGATGGAATGCAATTCGGACCCATAGGTTGGGAATTAGAGCCGAATACGCCCAAAACTTACTCGAAAAGGGGCATTTTAGGGGCAAAAATTCAAAACAGCCCTTGAACGACCGTGTGACTCTCACGGGAAGCTTCCCTATGAAAAATAGGACTTGTGAAAACTGATGGAATGTAATTCGGACGCGTAGGTTGGGATTTATAGCCGAATGCGCCCAAAACTTACTTGAAAAAGGGCGTTTTGGGGGCAAAAATTCAAAACAGCCCCCGAACCACCGTGTGACTCTCACGGGCAGCTTCCTCATGACAAATAGGACTTGTGACAACTGACAGAATGTAATTCGGACACGTAGGTTGGGATTTAGAGCCGAACACACCTAAAACTTAGTGTAAAAAGGGCGTTTCGGGGGGCAAAAATTCAAAACAACCCCTGAACCGCCATGTGGCTCTCACAGGCAGCTTCCTCATGACAAATAGGACTTGTGACAATTGACGGAATGTAATTCAGACCCGTAGGTTGGGAGTTAAAGCCAAAATGCGCCCAAAACTTAGTCGAAAAAGGGCATTTTGGGGGTAAAAATTCAAAACAGCCCCCGAACTATCATGTGGCTCTCACGGGAAGCTTCCTCATGACAAATAAAACTTGTGACAACTGACGGAATGTAATTCGGACCCGTAGGTTGGGAGTTAGAGCCGAATAAGGCCAAAACTTACTCGAAAAAGGGCGTTTCGGGGCAAAAATTCAAAACAACCCCACAACCACTGTGTGGCTCTCACTGGAAGCTTCTCCATGACAAATAGGACTTATGACAACTGACAGAATGTAATTCGGACCCGTAGGTTGGGAGTTAGAGCCGAATACGCCCAAAACTTACTCGAAAAAAGGCGTTTCGGGGGCGAAAATTCAAAACAGCCCCCGAACCTCCGTGTGGCTGTCACAGGCAGCTTCCTCATGATAAATAGGACTTGTGACAATTGACCAAATGTTATTCGGGCCCGTAGGTTGGGAGTTAGAGCTGAATACGCCCAAAACTTACTCGAAAAAGGGCGTTTTGGAGGCGAAAATTCAAAACAGCCCCCGAACCATTGTGTGACTCTCACGGGCAGCTTTTCCATGAAAAATAGTGTGACAACTAAAAGAATGTAATCCGGACCCGTAG